ATTCATTGCAGAGAAATCCAATAATCCTGATATAAAGACATAACTTCTTCAATTGGAAATGAGCAGACAATTCTTTTAGCATTCAGCAATCTATTCATAAACATTTTTTTTCTTTTTATGAAGTATGACATGCAAAACAGCTGAGAATGCGTGAGAATAAGAAGTCATCCTCCATTAAACCCAGAATTGGCATTCAGCTTATCATGAAATGAAATATGTCATCTTGCTAAGGAGATTAACATGATTTGAAAAGGAAGTGAGAGGTTTTCTTTTCAGCATAGATAAAGAGAAGATTTCAGACAACAGAGATATGATTCTACAGAAGGATGCTAAGGATGGAATATTTGAGCAAAAAGTAATATTAAGGAAAATGGAAAGAAAAATGAGGCTTTATATCAGAAAGAAACTTTTGAAATTACTTGGACACATATTGAGGAAAGTGGGCTTGGAGTATTTGGCACTCACAGGGCATATTGAAAGCAAGCAGAGCAAAAGGAATCAGTGAATAACATACATGACAAATAATAGGAAGTGAGAGGGATAGTGTTGTAACCTAGGAAAAGGCTACTGAATAAGAATAAGCAAAACAAAGGTTGGAAATAGAACAATAATATTTATAACAGAAACAACATACAAGATTCACCAGTGGCATGTAGTGAGTAATCAACTGATAGTGGTGAGCTAGAAGTGAGTCTAGGTGAATCACAAGGGAATCCCAATGACTACCACATACAGTATATTCGACTGTATATGGATTGGGACATAGCCGTTATAGTCCATAGGTACAGTATAACAAATAATAAAAAGACAAACTTTGTTAAGAACTACAAAGGATAGGAATTTGTTGAGAGCCATGATCATCTATGTAGTCAAGAAATAGGGCACACAGAAGAAGAAGATGGTTCATAAGTCATTCTTATTCCATAATGGTAGATTATTTATTATCTATAACTCACTAAAGAGAATGAAAAAATAAACCTTCTGTTGAAGAATGTTCATTTTGCATCAGTGTTCACAAAATTTTTTATAAGATAATTAGAAAACAATATATATATATATATATATATATATATAGTCCATGCCAAAAGTATTGGAATGACAAGGACAATTCCTTTGTTTTTGTTGTTCACTGAAAGCATTTGGTTTTAAGGTCAAAAGATGAATATGAGACAAAAGTTGAGAATTTCAGCTTTTATTTCCTGTTATTTATGATTTGATTTGTTAAACAACTTAGGAAATATCACCTTTTGTATCAGATCATCCCATTTTTTGGTGAGCAAAAGTAAAGGAACAGATAGTCTTAAAGTAAATAACATTTAATATTTGGTTGCATAACTCTTGCTTGCACTAACTGCATCAAGCCTGCAACCAATTGACATCAATAAACTGTTGCATCCTTCATTTGAGATGCTTTTCCAGACTTTTAATTGTACATAGATAAAAAAAAAATAACTATAGAAAATATTTTTCAAAGAGGAGTAACACAGTTTTTTATCTTAGGATAAGTTTTAGAATGACAAAAGATGTAGAGCCAAACATCCATCATGGTTCCATAAAGTGAAATCTGGCTTGTAGTATTTATATAAGTAAGTTTAGCTTATAATATCTATCCTTATTAAAATTATTTATAATTTGTTTTGGTAGTGTGAGATTTTATTAGTATGATGAGTGTGAGAATTTAATAATATGTAAGATTTTACTATTATTAGATTGTTTGGAAAATAATATCTGATTTTAAAATCAACTTTTATTCCTGAATGAATGTATTTAAACAGTGTTTAAATCAATCAAAATAGGAATCCTGAACATTTATACATTTCTGTCATCGAGTTACAAGGTTGCTTATGCTTTTCAATAAAACTCTAACAATTTGGAACCCAAGAAGTCTTTGAATGCTGTTTCTACATCTTCTTTGTAACGGAATGTCTTTTGGCTTAAAAAATTATTAAGATGCTTGAAAAAGTGTTTGTCAGTTGGCAGGACACCAGGGGAATATGGTGAGTGTGTCAAAGTCTCACATCCCAAGTTGGTGTGCTTCTGCAGTGTCATCCTGGTAACATGTGGCCAAGCATTGTCCTAAAGCAGAATTGGACCTTGTGTCAATTAACTTGGTTAAATTTCAGAAAATTGTAATGGATAACATCAATGGCGAACCACCATACAGTCACCATAATCTTCTGTTGGTGCAATTTCAGTTTAGGAAAGTGTTTGGGTGCTTCATCACGATCAAACCATTGAGCTGATCGTTTACAATTATCATAAAGGATCAAAACTGTTATAAAATGAAATAAGAAGACATATCTCGGCTGATTTACAGGCAAATACTCAAGAGCGAGAACCGGATGTGAACGGGACAAAGCCCCGTCACAAAATGACCATTATCTTTCTTTACAAATGTTCCGGTCGAAAAATAAAATAATATTTTTCGTCCAATAAAAATGCTTCCCTCCTAATTATACTCGCTTCGTTTTTCGAGCCTGTTAAGCCATAAAAAACGCTATAAAAGGGGTCACACGGAAGTTCAACGGGCAGTCAACAGGTGCCCAGGATAGAGACCTGTCACGTTCAGCTGCTGACAGCAGGGGAGCGTCAACCACCGTCAACATGTGTGAACTACTATGAGAGATCGACCTAGATCAGAAAGCCGGCTTATGAACTTTACCACAAGGTAGCTGTCCCAAACCCTCACGTTCCTGTTGAAATAAACCACGTAAATCTATTTCTACTGTTGTCGTATTTCTTTCTTGCAACCATACGCTTGTCTATAACAAATATCACATAAATCACTATTAAGTCAAGAAATGGATCATCCGAATTTACAGATACAGTATCGAACACACTTGAAAACGTCGAACTCTTTGACTTTCACTTTCAATGAGTTCATGCGGAACCCATTTATCGAGTTTCTTCACCTTGCCAATTTTCTTGAGATTGTCCGATATTGTTGAAATGCTGATACATATTAAGATATTTCTTTGACACATTGACATGGGTTTTATTTGACTGGCGTTTTCAGATGTTGATTGTCAATTGCAGAGGGATGTCCTTTACCACCTTGAGCTTCAAAACTTGTATCCCCAATGCTGAGCTCCAGAAACTAGTGCCGTACTGTTTGATCAGAGTGGGTCCTTCATCTCATTCTCTGTTAACCCTAGAACACTAACCATCAATACCTAGGTATATCATACCTAATTTTAAAAATATCAAAAAAATATTAAATATAAATCTTTATTTGAAATATTTTACATGCAGGCACTTCAAACTTTGTACTTTGAGTTAACATTAATAGGAACTGAAAAACATATTCTTTAGGTAAGAAAATCAGGTACTGAAAATTGTAATTAAAAATAGGAAAAGTTTTCAAAATAAAACATAAATAAATAAAAAAATATATCCTCGGATGACTTCCAAACTCCTCATACGGCTTTCCAGGTCCTGTGAGTAATTGCTGAAGTGGGTACTGGTCCCAAGCTGACTTCCAAATTCCTCATACGGCTTTCCAGATCCTGTGAGTCACTGCTGAAGGGGGTACTGGTCCCGAGCTTTCTTCCAAACTCCTCATACGGCTTTCCAAGTCCCGTGAGTCACTGCTGAAGTGGGTACTGGTCCCGAGCTGACTTCCAAACTCCTCATACGCACTTCTATGCATTGAAGACATGAGGAGGACAATTTTCTTGCTGGAAGGGGCGTTGGGCACATACGACACCAGTGTCATGTCCTTCGTGAACAGGAAGGCACTGGAACCTGGAGCCCGTGTGGTCTTCTCCTTCATCTCTTCTGCTATCTCTGACTTATTTCCTCTGACTATCCCAATCAGCGTCATCCCACAATTGTGCAGCATATCCTGGATGAGAGGCACAGAGGTGAACCAATTGTCGGTTGTTACATTCCTCTTGGTGTTGTGGTAGCGCTGTGTCAGGTCCTTGGTGAAGGAGTGGCCAAGGTTTTGCCCGTCTGTCGACCGTGTCCCCTGCTTCCCATGATAGTGGATCCCTGACAGTATGTACTTGCTCTTGACATCTTTTACCATGACGATCTTGATGCCGTACTTCGCTGGTTTATTTGGGATGTACATGCGAAAGGGGCAGCGGCCACGGAAGGCAAGCAATTGCTCATCAACAGCCAGGAATACATGTGGGATATAATGGGTGCCATAAGCCTCGATGAAAATATCCCACACCTTCCTGATTGAAGCAAACCTGTCGGTTTCTTTTCACTGTTCTCTGGTATTAAAGTCATCAAAGCGTAGGTAGTTGAGGAGGAAAGTAAAGCGCCCCTCAGACATAGCTGCCCTGTAGAAATTAGAACCAACTTTAGGGATCCAAACTTCCTTAATGGAGAGGTGGTTGTCTCTCCTGTAGCCACTAAAAATGAGGACCCCCAAACATGGCACGTATCTCCTCAGGTGGTGGTGTGGGTTGTATTTTGGCCTTCATATGATTGTATTTTGCTGCGTCAATGTTTATTTTTTGGTTGGTCTACTGCATGATTTCATCTACAGACAACAAAGAAAAACACTTCTCTGGGATGTCGGCTTGGGAAGCTTGTTGGGAGGGGCCATGTAATGTACGTAGTGATCCTGCATTTGGCCTAGTGCTCCACATAAAGCCATTTCTAGATCTAATTCTAGTTGTGTTGAAGCGTACAAGCTCATCACGATCTGTTTGAGGTACAGTGCATCGTCGTCGCCGTCCAAGGGGAGCAGCAGGGGCAACAGCAGGTGGAGCAGCAAGGCCAGCAACAGGGGCAGTAGCAGGTGCAGTAGAAGGGCCGACCACAGGCAAGGCAGGGCTAACACGCACTACTTTCTTTTTCTTTCTTGGAGGTACATCGTCCAAGTCACTATTGTCACTGCTATCATTAGGTTCTTGCACATATTCACCATCAATGTCATTGTCATATAATTCTTCAAACTCTAAATTGTCCACTTTATCATCAGAACTCTCACATAAAATAGCCTCTATTTCACTGTCTGGAATTGATTTCTTACTCAAAGCCATTTTGAATAAACCCTTAATCTGAAAGGGTAAAATATATCACAATCACTATTTGCACAGCCTCATAATCCTGTTTTTCATTCCACCGTTGATGACTAAAATAGTACGTAAACACTATCCTGGGTAGGCCATACCTGCCGTGCACAACACCGCATATCACCAACCATGGGTATACCTTACCCAGACGCAGGCCTACAGCACTGGTGAGTAGAGAAAGCGAGACGGCGCAACCTTCCCCTACACTGTCAGGTGGGCAACTGAAGCTACTAAGTAGCTGGGACTCCTCGGAGCGCGAGAACCATACGCACGCTCAATGACGTCATTTGCGCTGGGTACTATATACCCATGGGTAGTATTCTAGGGTTAATGTTGGCAGCAGTTTGAGATTATAATAATAACCAATAATAATTATGACCAATCTTGAACTCATGCAAAAACATTTTTTTTTCCTATTCGAAGTCATGGGTATATAATGTTTTAAGTTAAATTATGAAAGATATTGATATAAAATTAACAAAGAGAACACTTTAATCATTAGGAATTATTAATATATTTTTGTGCAACTATTATAATAATAGAACACAAAAGGGTTATTCTAAAATCGAACAATATTTTCTAAACAACCTGATATAATGTATAATTCAGAAAATATCCTAATATAACTAGAATTAATGAAACTTTGAAAAAAAAAAAAGGAAAAAAACGAAAGAAACCGGGCCTAAGACAAAATAAGACGCATTGAGGAACCTCTCTCAACTTAATAAGATATAAATTGCACATCTAGAAATTTCCAGTAAGAAAATCAGCAGAGATTAGAGATAGAATCAGATCCTAAAACGTCAGAGACATGAAACTCTTTACCGTAACTTCATAAACCAGTGATTCCCAAAGTGTATCAGGGGAACGGTGAGAAAAAAGTGAACAGCGGCCCATCTGAACCATACCACCCTCACACATTGTATCTGAAATGTATCTTGCCTTTACTTTACAGTGTATCTCATTTATATAACAATTATTATGAGAAATAGTAAGATAATCATTTGACATGCAATTCTAGCATCAAGAAAATTCTAATCAAAGGTTTACTATGCATTGTGGGGGTGGCCTTAGGGTTATGCCTATACATTGGAAGGTATTAGGGTTGTGTTTTTGTATGCAAGTGGGTGACAACACCCAAAAAGTTTGGGAACCACTGCTATAAACCGTCTGTTGATTCTTTTAGTGTGAAATTTGATGTCACGGAGAATTTGTGTGTGTGCGTGTGTGTATGTGTGTGTCTCAAGCCACTTAACCACTAAAAACCGCATATTTTGGTTTTTCTTTTCTTGTATGAATCAGTTTATTTCGAATTCAAGGAGATCTTCTTTGCTCCATCGTGTAGATAGATGACTTGGATAGTCTGATGCCATGTAAATATCCTGTTGTCAGCCGCAGAAAAGCACAAACAACAAAGCGAACCTACTGGGAGGGGGGGGTGCTAACGAACCCCCCCCCCAGTAAAATGATGGTGTGTTTGCGTTGCTTTCTATGCGCCACACACGTCAGAAACACTTGTTTGAAAAGATGATAAAAAAAGATAAAAATATTAATCGCTAGTTATTTTTCTGTCTTTTACAAAGGATCTTTTCTGTTAATTCACCCCAATTATCGCAAATATAAATTCACCCAAAGAAATGATAAATTTTAAATCATAGTTTGTTTTTTTTATTGAATTTTTGAAATTATAAATTTTAAATCAAACTCTGTTTAGTTTGCCTCGCAACAACTCCAACCGCCAGAATGAAAAAATTACCAAAAATCAGGGACTTATTTATATTTTGTAAGTGCGGATGGTATTCGAGGTTCTTACAAGGAATTATTTACAATTTAAAAAAAAGAAAAAAATCTTTTTTGGCTTGTTTATCGAGGTGAGCGCGAATGTAGACCCCACAATTAAAAATAGCGTACACTAGTCGCCCACATTTGGGGCTTTAGAATCCCGCTACCAATTTCTTATCATTGTTGAATTTTGTACAAATCTGTGCAAAAAAGAGGATCAGAAGCTTACCCAGCTTCATACGGATTTTCAGGAAATATCAGCCTCTAATTGGTCATTAAACACACAAGTGGGCGTTGCAATCCATCCGCGTACAAATATTTTTCCAGCGCGTGACCAAGTCAAGTTTTCCCGCCATTTTCCTGGGAGCCTGTCACGTGATTACATTAATTATAAATAGCAGACACAAGCTTGCTCACTCTCTTCTCTTCTCTTTTCTTGCGAAGATGTAACTTTAAAGGATCCCGTCTCGACCATATGTGCGGTCAGACGTTAAAAATATATTCACGTATGCACGTACGTACGAAATTTTCCAAACTACATTACAAACATACAAAACATTTCCAAACAAGCAACAAGAACTTTTCTCTTTGAAATACTCTTCTAAAGTTAAAAGTTTATTCAGTATTTCTCAGTTTTATAATTCATTCAACTTTTGTGAGCTCAGATAAAAATATTTCAATTTCATCAGTAAACTTCAATTCAGTTGTAGAGGGTGCAAAGAAGCCCCCCAAACAAATAATAAAAAGAAAATACACTACAAATAAAGTAAAATAAACTTTTGTTTATTTTTGTAAAGAATTATTTTTTCCTTGCACAAAAATGAAATTGTCCGTAAAGCTGCGGAAGAAAAGAGAAAGAAAGGAACTGGGAATGTGAGGGAAAGGTAGGACTATGTGTAGCGAGCGAGATGAGAGAAAGAGAGGGTGAAAGAATGTTCACTGATACGTGATACTGCCTGTTGTGTGAACCGCTGAATCCTCTCGGTGTGTGTGTGCTCGAAACTGTCCGTGTCGCTTTGATGTCAGCTTGTCGCTGTTCTCTCTCCCTTCTGATGAGAGTTTCTACCTTCCTTATATAAGAATGATGAGGCTCCGGGGAGATTAAGAAATGGGTTTCTTATGTCGAGTCCTGATTGGTCAATAAATCCTATTTTTGACCACGTGGTGTGCTTTTCACTACGTCCGAACTTTTGGGTGCGCCGTCCTTGTTTTTGACCCCACAGGGCATGGTAAGGAATGAATTCCCGCGCAATTGTATTTTTTTGATACACGTGGTGTGAATTAATTTTTATTGTGTGTATGTGTGTGTGGAAAAATAAGAAACAGCACACAGTCAAAGGGACATAACACCAACAAAATAGTAACCTCTATGTATGTACATCATTACACAAAAATAAATATAAATGTTGTTGTTATAAAACCGTTTTTGTCCCGTCTTGTGTTTCATATTTTGTGCTATTTTGCGTTAAATATAAATCGTGTGGTCATGTCAATAAACAGACATCTACAAATGGTCATATATATTAACATACCTCTACAGGGCGATCTGAAAGGTTACCCCAACCGGAGTGCAATGGATGGGCCTCACTCTGGGAGAATTTGGCGTGAAGTTTAGTAAATATAAATTTTTTTTATTTTGGAGTGAATTAATATTTGGGGGGGGGGAATTAACAGAAGAGATGCAAAAGATTAGTTTGGATGGGAAAATCATTTTCTTTTTGGTTTTAATTCACAACATGCAGAATGCGTATTGAATCTTGCTAAATCAAATTTTAAGTAAAAATCGCATAAAATCAAATTTCAATCGTTATGACGATTTTTGGTTCTAAATCTATGAATGGCCATCATAGATTGCTTTGATAACCTAGTATTTACATAACGCTCTCATTAAGTGTAGTGCATTACAAATCGTTCTGAGAAAAAGGGTCAGAATGTACTCTTGATATGTGATATCACTAATTGCATTAAAGAAAGTCTTTCTTTTAACATGATTTATATTTGGTACTTCTTGGAGGAATGTGATTCACATTTTCTTTAGATGTGGTATTGATTTATGTCCTTCACACAAGGAAACACCCGTCTGTAATCGTCTCTATATGGTTAAGTTGTTGGGACTTTTGGGTCATTTGATTTATCAGAAGGATTTTTGTTATTATCGGTTGCGTGTCTAACCGTGTCCCAAACAAATATACAAACAAGCGTGAGATTTCAAACAAGGAAAAAACGAGACATATATAGATCAAAACAATAAAGCATTTATATACAATTAAACATTTACAAACTGGAACAATATGTGTATTAATGCGTGCGTAAATTGTGTGTTGCTGGGATGTTTGATGTCTCTGTGTCGTTATGTTTGCTATTTTCTTGTTTGTATCAAATATTGGAGTAATAAGATTTAAGAGTTTTTTTTGCAAAAGTTTGTCGAAGTAGTCTACCTTTGAACGTGTTTGTGTTTGTATCGTATTTCTTATTTTTGTAATGATTATAAATCAATATGTATAAGAAATTTAGTGGAAAGTTTCGAGAGTCGTTCGTTGAATGTTCAAAGTGAGTCAGTGGGTGTTCTTTGAAAAGCGCGGCAAGATTGTTTTTCAAACGTCGTGGAGTATTTAGGCAATTGCTCGGTGAATTTGCTAGACTGACTGAATGGGGCTGGTAATTTTTCTTTATCGTCTGGTCAGCGATGACTAAGACGGGAGTCGGTGAAATGTTACATCTTGAAGGTTGGTAATTACAGCTACTCTGCTGCTCCGCTTCCACTGAAAGGGGCTGTCTGCCTTTCCTTTATATATAACACTTGGGTTTTCAAAAAAGTGGCTCAAGTCGTTTTGGCGCAATTCTTGTTTCAGAAGACGATTGACCAATGGAATTGCTTGGTTCGATTCTTGCCATTTCTATTGGTTGAGGTTTTTCTGTACGTAGGCGTACGATGTGGACTGTGCCTTTTTAAGGTTAGAGAAGGTTAGAATACTAGAAGAGTCCACAAAGTCATTCTACAATTAGTGTAAATGTTTTTTTGTTTAGGAGAAATAATAAAAAGACAAAACTTATTAATAGCTACAAAGAACAGGAAATTGTGGAGAGCCATGATCGTCTACGTGCTGAGGGGATGCGGCACATAAAGAAGAATTTAAATATATATATACTTTTAAATAAAGAAGACACACACTGTACAAATCTTT